CTGTCTCCTCTCTCCTCTTTGTCTCTGTCCTTTTTGTCTCTTTCCCCTTTCTCCTCTGTCCTCTCTCCTCTGTCTCCTTTCTTCTCTTTCTCCCTGACTTCTTTTTCTGCTATAAATAGTTATTTTTTGCTTTTTAATGTATAACACAAACATATAAACAACTTACCAAGCTCATCTACCAAAAAAAGGCATTATAGTTATCACTATAGGGTTACACATTCCCAACTTACCATCAGATGGATGGACCTCAATGAGGACATCCTCTATTGGGGCAGCCATTACTTTTTGATTTTGAACTTACGGTTTCAGGTGTCTTATTTTATATCCTAAAGGTCACAGTTGACACTTGGTGTTCTTTGATTGGCTGTGAATGACGCAATGACTTCTATTTCGGTATTTTGCTCCCACACATTTTTATCATCAGTCCTCTCACCTGTAAAGATAAACACATATCACCCGCATGATAACTTTGAGACTAACTTTCTCTCAGCTTTCCCTTTTGAGTTAGTAAGTATTAAACAAAAATGAGTGTTTGTGTTTATGTTGACGTCTCACGCACATACTAGTTCCACACCTTTGTTTTCAAAAAAGGGGATCCATAGTTTGTATGTCTTAGCGTTACAAACGAGTTCCTCTCTTTTAGGGGATCAATAGTTTGAATATTTGGCATTCAAACTAGTTCCACTCCTGTTTCAGGGGATCAATAGTCTGTTTGTTGTAGACAAACTAGTTCCTCTCCTGTTGAAAGGGGATCAATAGTATGTGCATTACACAAACTCATTTCTGTTATTCATTTACTGATTACATGGACAAGTTCTTCTATTATGACCAAATGGACCACAATTACCACATTTTCTTTGTGTTGCAGGTGGTTCTAGAGATTGCCTTGGAGAATGTGGTACTTCAATCTCCATTGCGAGGTCTGGTGGATCATCTACACCTGGAGTTGATTGTCGAGATGATCCTGTTAGTCGAGGTGCATCAGGAAGTGGGCAGGTTACATCTTTACATTCGTATCTGCAAAAAGGTCTTATCTTTTCGTAAAGGTACCATTTCCTTTCAGTTGACATACCCTTTGGTGGTAATATATTAGGTAGTTCATCTTCCATTATTTGAGCGTCCTCCTTCAGCAAATTGAATTGTGTGACTGGACCATCTACAGCTTGTCTGGCTGCAACTACACCAGGTGAGGTCGCATTTACAACAAAGTGTTGAAAGCCTTTGATGCCTTTTATTTTCTTGAATAATGTAGCAAAGTAACTACACCAGTCAAGTGTTTCTACAATGAGTTCACAATTGCTACTTCCTACTGGTTGGGCTTTGTTCACAGCAGATGATTGTTCTACAACTTGAATGAAGTCATCCAATGAGTCCACCTCTGCTTTACGGAATTTTTGCTTTAATAGTCCGAAGCACCAGTCTGGAGAAAATTTTGTGTGTCCAACTGGCAGAAAGGATATTGAAATGGACGCATTGAGTCCTGTCATGACTCTCCATAAGAGGTACTAAAATAAATAAAGAATTACATTTAAAATGTTCATTATTGTGCATGTAATATACTTACTTCAATAACTGTATTATTTTTATTTTGCCCTGTGCAGTTGTCAGCATTGAAATGGATACTGACTGAGTTGAGGCCATGATTCTTCAAATAAAAATGTACCATGCTTATGACAGGATTTGCCCCTTTACCAGTGTCGAATGATTCATCGATCAAGAAATTAACCTGCTCAGGGATAGCTTCACAGCACACGCCAAATATGCCACATTTCCTGGGAGTAAGAAAATAAATTGGAACTGCTTGTTGTGGACTTGAAGGATAGTGAACCTTTAAAAAAGAAGGTAAGCTAGATACACTTTCATAATTATCATAAAATGTTACCTGTTGAGCGTAATCGAAGCTATAATGTGCTACAATATTTAACATAGCAAGTGGCCTTGTTAGTGGGGGATTGTATTTGTTTGCTGCATCAGTATACAGCCCTTTTAACAATAATTGTGCCTCTTTTAATACATCCTTACAGTACTCCCTTTCCTTTTTAACAAGACTTCTGTGATCTAG